CAAAGGACATGAGCGCCTGACAGTGAATTTGTTACTTTGCTTGAAATAAGAAATAACTAAGATTTTTTACAGGTCCCTTAATTCGCTGTCAACTGCTTTAATCCACACGCACGCTTCTGCCGTCGACTTCGGTGTTCACCACCGCCTCGATCCACCAATCCCGTCTGCGGTCGGTCCTGCGTGGTGTGAGCCCTCTACTCACTCATCTGTCAGGAAACATCCTCGTCTATCCTCAGCATCATCGAAATATCAAGTCCCATACCGTCCCTACACGAATTTTATGCTGTCAATCTTGTTGTCTGTTTAAAATTCCGACGGCAGTTGAATAACTTCACGATGTCGCCTGGCAGCTTTCTACTCACAACTTGTACAGTTCACGAACAATAAAGGGCTGCTAGAATTTGTTGTGTACATCTCATGGGAACTATTTAACAGGAGATGGAGTCGTCAAGTGGGGCATGGTTGTGCGGAGTGAGCCTAGGAGGACGAGTGGAACATCGAGGAAAATCAAAACAGCTCATGGAGCGTTCATAGTTGGCGATCGATCGTACGCGGGCGAGTGGCGAGTAGGCGATAAGGAAGGATACGTATTGATTTGTTGCTCCGCCCATTGAGCGATCGCCTAATCGCCTACTCGCCTACTCGCCTACTCGCCTACTCGCCTACAACGCTCTATGGGCGGAGCAAACCAATCAATACGTATGTAGTCTTCCCCGCCTAATCGCCTACTCGCCTACTCGCCTAATCGCCTAATCTATACGTATATTTTTCAATAGACTAATCGCCTAATCGCCTAATCGCACCCGTGATCGCCAACTCTGAACGCTCCATTAAACATCCCATTAATAGTCTACCCGCAACTTAGTTCTAGAGGGATTAGGCATGGATGGGTATTGACTGTGTGGGCTCCCAATATAACGGTGCTCCACCCGACGGCACCAGCGCTACTGAACAACTAACTCAGATAAACCAAATGACTTCTGCAACGTTCCTAGCTGTGTGCTGAAGCTTATCTGCTCAAAAGTTCAGCTATCAATGACCGTGAGTATCAAGCAAACTCTGGGTGGAGAACCGCACAAAGACCAGCGTGTCATAAGCCTGGACTGCTGATCATTCCGTTTCTGAAAGAAGATAAAAATCCTTAATGAACCACGGCGCTCATGGCCTCAGCGGGGACATTCTAAAAGGGCCGATGGCAGGCGTCACTAGGACTAAGCCCAGAAGCAGGATAGCGGGAGAACGTGAATCACATGGTAAAGGACAAACACAGAAACACACAGTGAAATGGAGAGCTCAAAATTGCTCACATCCTACCCAGAGCCCCCTCCGTTCCCTAAGACTTCGTCTACTGTGAGTGGCTCACTCACCTCAATGTCTCCACTCCATCCCTTTCCCCAACGACATTTACGCCCAAGCCACTTTATAACTTTCCTAAATATGGCTTAGAGCCATGGGTTAGCTCAACAGCCTCCACGGCAGGTTTTCTATCCAATCTACGCTCCAGCCATGAACTACAGTACGCTTGACGGGAACTGTTTTCTACCAGATCCTTTCGTGCCGAGAGAATGGAAATCGATAAGTCATTCACAGAAGAAATAGGATCAAAGCTTGTTAGTGTCGTAATAACTTCGTATAGCATACGAACCGTTTGGCTTACTGAGACCGAAGATGCGTAAAATTTCAAGGCTGCAGCAAGGACAGAAGTTTGTAGAGGAACCAGCCCAATCTTTACAGCAGCGCTCAGAAGCAGTCTCAATGTGAGCCACCAACTTTGCTCAAGAACTCCTTCGACAGCCACAAAGTGCTTTTGCGGAATTCGCAGATTTACCCCACGTACAGTAGTGGCCAGAAATTTATGAACAAACGGTTTTTTCATGATTTCTCTTTTGAAAGTCACTGGAACGTCTCCAAATTTGCAACAATTATTAACTACGTGTTTTGTGATCCACACAGAAAATTTCAACCTTCAGCTCAAATTTGGGGGAAAATTTTAGATTTTTCGAAATTAATGAAGGCAGGTGAAAGATCACTTGATCCGTTTATTTGATTTAAATAATGTATAACCCAACAGAACAGTCAAGTAAACAGTCACTAACATTAAGCAAGTCTAGCACATTGCCCAGAAATCTCTAAAGTCTTGGATGCATAAACTGGGTTTAAAGGTGGGGTCAATTTAATGAACTCGCCCTCTAGTGGGGGTCTCTCTCTGTAGGCGCTTATTTCGCGTGACTATTTCATTGACATGCGACTTTGTAGGTCTCCTCCCCTAGTGGTTCTGTAATGTTTGGCTCAAGAGTCTGGCCTGGCTGGTCTTTTAAAAGCACCCCATGCTGTCGAAACCACTCCTGCATGTGAGAGGCCCGATGCTTTGAGTCGCTGCTCTGCTGACAGACAAAGCCAGGTCGTGTGGCAGCCATGTCTACGGATACATGCACCTTCCAAAATGTGACACCAAGCGTCTACCTTTATGGCTTCCCCAGTAGTGTAGCGCGGTCCCACTTTTTTCTAAGGCATCTTTATCAAGCCTTCGCCAAAGTTTTCACAATTAGCTTGGATCAAAACGTTCCCACTCGTGGTGCCGTACATTACTAGTATCCTTGCTGTCATGCATCAGTAATATGTTTTTGTCATTCCAGATGACCTTAGAAACCTGTATCAACCTTCGTTTCAGGCTTAGTCAATCACATTCTACTCCCACCCACTTCACAGCGAGCGCTCTTCTTAGACTTTGAGAACTAAGGAATACGTAGTATAGACTTAGATTCTAGAAGATGTTATGTATCCGTGGACATGGCTGCCACACGACCTGGCTTTGTCTGTCAGCAGAGCAGCGACTCAAAGCATTGGGCCTCTCACATGCAGGAGTGGTTTCGACAGCATGGGGTGCTTTTAAAAGACCAGCCAGGCCAGACTCTTGAGCCAAACATTACAGAACCACTAGGGGAGGACCTACAAATTCGTATGTCAATGAAAGAGCCACGAAAAGACGGGACTACAGAGAGAGACCCCACTAGAGAGTGAGTTCATTAGTTGACCCCGCATTCAAATCCAGTTTATGTATCCAATACTTTAGAGAGTTCTGGGCAATGTGCTAGACTTGCTTAATGTTAGTGACTGTTTACTTGACTGTTCTGTTGGGTTATACATTATTTAAATCAAATAAACGGATCAAGTGATCTTTCACCTGCCTTCATTAATTTCGAAAATTCTAAAAAATTTTAAACCCAAATTTGAGCTGAAAGTTGAAATTTTTTGTGTGGATCACAAAAGGGACGTAGTTAATAACTGTTCCAAATTTGGAGACGTTCCAGTGACTTTTCAAAAGAGAAACCATGAAAAAACCGTTTGTTCATAAATTTCTGGCACCACTACTGTATTTGTTTTTGCTTGTATGCTCTACGTGGTTTTGGGCTTGTTGGCGTAAGGAACTACACGTTGCTGTAACTGCTCGTGCTAATGTTAACAAAAAATATATCTAAGCACACAGTTGAACAAAAAATCGTCAAAATATTTATGGAACGAAGAACAAGAGCACAATGTCAGTATAAATACTATATGTATATGTGGTTAAGGACAAAAATAGAAATCTGCTAGAAGAGCTCACATTTGTCAAGTTAGATGTGAAAATTTCTACGATCAAGCACCCTGTTTGCGAGGACAAATGGAAATGATTTTATAGTGAAGCCAAAAAATGTAAAAATAGAGCTCCGACCAATGCAATTTTTAGTTTATTGACTTTCAACCCCAGAAGTGCTATTAAAGTGCACGCTTCCCTAACCAGGCAGGTTTCAAGTTAAGCAACTCGGTTGTAGTGCGGATTTCGGGCTAAATTTTGTACATACAAACTGAACTAGCAAATTGCTTGGATACACAACAGTTCACGGTACAAGTATAAAAGCAGTCGGCGCTCATCTAGTACAGGGGAGCAGTTTAGTGCAGAGAATTAAAGGCAGGTATCACGGTAAACATTGACGAAGGGGAAATGTGTCAACAAAAAGGCTCAGCCACTAATGGTAAGGAGTACCTGCTGCCTTCGTGGCAAAGGCTACGTATGTAGCAAAGTAGCAAAGCTTCTTGCGTGTCTCTGAACGCTTTTGTGCTTCCGCCCGCCTCCGATTATTGCTGGTCTCTAGCTTCCGAACTCTAGCCCTTCTAGCACAGAGGCAAAGCAGAACGCAAGGTTGATGACATCAGAAGCGTTGCGACTCGCCGAGCGCGGAACTAAACGGAGAACGAGAGTCCCGGTTTCTGGGGCTTGGAACGCCTCCACGGTCATTTTTTGACTATGGTACACTTCTCAATTACTTTCCTTCCCCACAGCGGCCAATTTATGGTCTGTCTCAAACCACGATATACAATGCTAGGCGCTATCGCAAGATACGGGGGCATCGCAATAGTAATGCGCTTAAAACAGCGTAAATCATCTCCTTCCATTGAGATCGTGAAGAAACCTCAGGTGGAGCAAGAGGAACTCCAAGGTGCATAAGCAGTTTTCACTTTCCTCATGTTCCTGCCCCTCCAATGTTTGGTTGTGGAGGATGCTCCCCATCTTGCGGTAGCGCCTAATTCTCTATTCAGTACAATTGAATGAGTGTTTCTCACCTAGGCCCCAGGTACGAACTGGTCCTTCCGCACTCGGACTACTTCCCCTCCAGAATTGGGACTACCTTTGCCGGTCTATTTTTTTGATATGATTACTGCACCAAAGTGTCCCCCCGTACTACATTTGCTCCAAACAGTCATTTCCGGCATAAATAAATCATGTGACACATTGTACATACTCAACACTATGAAATACTGGAAGCATCAGCTGATCATCGTCTGACAACTTATTTACAAATATCGACTTGAGTGGTGTTCGTGCACATCTGACACACCACCTTACAGCACCATTCGAACTTGCAGTTACACTTCGTCGTCTGCTCTACGGTGTAAGTGTTGTATCCCCGTCCACAGCACAACGAGTCACAACCGTCTGGTCCGTCAGCACCGCGCCTGAAACTCTCATTAACCACTGAGCAGACTTGGACCAACTAGTGGCATATCTTGAAGCAAACCTCACCTGCAGACTCGTTCCATGGGTGCCGAGAGTCCCCGAAGCGCGATCCTGTCGACAGTAGTCCGGGAATCGTCCATGTAGACAAGATCAGTTGGCAGAGCTCTGGTTTTTCGCTTACCACCACCTTCCGCTGCTTGCTTTTGTTGTTGATCGGCGACGTAATAACTTCAGTCTACCGCGAGAGTTCACCTAAGCATCACTTCAGGTTGGTGTACTCGGTAGGCCAACTACGATACTCACTTGAACCCTGATCGCATTTTTGTACTTGTTGGAAGTTATCGTTGCGACTTGCCGCATTGTGGGCAGCTGACCAACCACGTCTTCAGTTGCATTGAACCCGATACGCCATGACATTTGCATTTTGGCGCCGTGTGACGCTTGAGAATCTAGGAATGAATTGAATTTGAAGCAGTGTCAACCGTGAATTCTAGCTGGGAGGAAAAGGATGGGCCGCCCCTTTCTTAAAATTGACGAACTTTTTCTACACTTCTTTTTTGATCACGGGCCACTACTTGACATTCCGGTCCTCCGCCCCAGAATTCTCGATCGAAAGAGCGAAGGGATCGTTTCGACAAATCCTTGGTTCTCAGGAAATTCCCGCATCCCATATGTTTCAAAAATAGGAAATCGGTCATATGAAAGGGCCAGACTGACTTTTGGCGTAGCTTAAAGGACAATTTCACGATAAGAACGAAGGTCGAACAATGGGAAAATGGCCTAGTTGGGATACAGGCGGACCTCCTGAGGGTGCTAACCGAGATTGGCATCAATGCGCAAATGAACGGGCAAGGAAGGGGTCCCATTTTTCAGGTTCTGGGCCAATTTCCTCAATTTTTTTCTTCTTTCGTGCATCAGTGACTATCTCTGACTTCATTTGAGACGGGTTGCTTTTTCAGCGTTAAATCGGTCCTGCAAAGGCCTGAACATGAGGACACAAAGGCCGCCATGACGTTTTATTGAGATTTAGTGGCACCTCCTCGTAGAGCCAGCTCAAACCTCAACCACCCCACATGAAGGGATCGTACACACAATCACGACCCTTTCCGACCCCTGCACCCCCTCCCCTTCCATCATTGCTGTATTTGATTTCTGAGACAAGCAGACATTCTCCAACTCCTCCTCGAACTCCATACGGAACTGAGACGAAAATCTCAAATGCGACTCCCTAACCGCAATTACAAATGCACTATGGCCGCAAGCACGCCGCTCGTTTTATCCAAAGGTCTCAATATAACCTTTTCTGGAAGGTAATTTGAAAATAGACGATTGAACCTGTATTACATAGCTCTCGCTACAGCTTAGATTTGAAGCACAAAGAATTCGCTCACCTTCCTTCCAGCTTCATTGTTTCGTCGGTTCATTAGCGATCTGCCTTGATCTTGGTCTCTACGAGGATCTTTTTCCTTCTTCGGATGTCAATGAAATTTCTGAAAGAAGCGCATAAATAAACAAACAGAGGGTGTTTCTCAATTAGCTAGCTCCTCCAATACAAAAACGATGGAGTACTCGCTCTGTAATTATTATGTAACGAGTCCTGCCACCAATTGCAACGAGCCAGGACAAAGCGCGGTGCCACTTTATCCTGAGCATGTTCGTAGTGAAAATCAGAAACATCGTCCACAAGTCGCATCCCGTCCAATGTAGGGGACCAAAAAAGTCCCTCTCCCTTCGCTTCAAAACGGGACCTCATCAGAATCAAACCGAATTCTCCCAAATAATTAGATAGCATATTGCAGTCTAGCAAAAAATCTTCACAACAGCCTTCTGCACCGAAGACCTCAGAAGAATTTTCCACGGGAAAATGGTGAGCGTTTCGATCTCATCGAGTCCCGATGGATAGTAGACCATTGACACGATACATAAAAAGCTGGTCGGAGGAAGTCTTGCCTAGGTGGAGCTACAGTCTTTAGAGCCCAGTAACCGATTGAAGGAAATTATGTAGCAGCTTCAGAATGGAGCGATTACGGTAGGCCTCCTTGAGCTCGACGGTGATGGCAGATGACGTCATATTCTGAGACGGTGAGGGCAGTGAAGGAGGGCCTGCTTCTGCTTATGGAGGGACATCTAAGGAATATTTTGCCATAAAACTTTCGTCAACGGCTGCACTTTATGCTACAAAAATTGGCTGAATTGAGCCCCAAGGAAAGCAACACTTTTTGCCTCCCCTGTATAGTAGCGCTTGGGTCACTCTTCTACTGAATCCGTATCAAATGTGCAGGCTCTCTCATCAATGTTTTAGGCCAAAAGCTAGGCGTCTTTGTAGCTTTGTGTACCGCTTTTTCCTTATAGACATTCTAGTAATATGTATTCTGTTGTGCTTTCTACAAAAATAGCTGCAATTGCTATCATACTGTGTCTAAAATTTTCAGGTTAATCTAACCATAACAAATGTAGAATACATAAAATCAATCAAACCCCGGAAAACAGTACTTTTGTCATGTGAAAAAAAAACGGTTGCCCTACATATTCTGTAAGGGAATGAAATATTGTTTAGATAGCGCTTGAGAACGATTCGCTCTTGTATCCGTGTTCAAGTATCATCAAGTAACACGAGCGCTTCAGATGAGTATGTCCTCAGGAGATTTTGGTGTATCTCGATGTCATCTATGCAAAACGACTAGCGAAGCATGGAAACGCGTACTCAAGTACCCTATATCGTAAGGGAAGATTAGTGAATTGGTTGAAGTGTAAAAGGTGAATAATATCTGACTTCGCAAATCGATAGCCGTAGTCAACGTTGTCGCCACAGCCTCCCCATGTCCAATCATCGGCCACATTCTTCGGTTTCGCCTCATCTGAACACCCACATGACGCCAATAAACCTGAAATGCGTCAAATGTCACATTCATAGAAGAGTGGTCGAGATACTGTTGCCAGAAAATTAGACTCACCTTGCTTACACCTCCTGCCAATCTCATGGGTGACACCGGCAGACAAAATAGCGTAGGTGAAGGCAGCTTCACGTGTACCTGGAAGATTCATGTAATCTTGTGATATACTGTCGACTAGAAGACTTTGAAAAGAACTAATCCGCATTACCTAATTTATGAATCGGTCCAACAATTCCTGAACCATAGGGTGTAGAGCAATTCCATCGATTAGACTTGAACTGGTATTGGCACTCCTGAATTCAATGACACGTCCAATGGAACACCCAGAAACAGAGAGAAATGGGAAAATTTGAACGGTATTTTTCCCATCTCTGAATTACTCTTGCAGTCATGGAATTTATGCCATTTTTCAAAAGTTGCCAGAGCGATATGTACATGTGAGATGTAAAGGTAAGTAGCTCTAACACAGACTAAAGGTTTGAGGTGGCACTAGGGGAGAATAAGTTGTAGACTAGTCAGGTGATGTTTCCCCTACGCCGATATATTCCCTCATTTACCAGATTGCTCAGTAAATGACCCTGACTAGTGATGACCCTCAAATAAAGGGTGAACAGGGAGAGAAATATCCCGCTTAGACTTCTAGTTCTTCAGAATTTTTCACAAATATCGGCCTCGTTCTCAAGGATCTAGCCAGAACAGAACGATTTTTGGACCTGATATCAACCATACTCGTTTTGAGAAACCAAGAGCATCTTCAGTACCTGTATGGCTGTCTGTGCTCCTTGGCCGACAGCTGGCATGTGATCCTTGAACAGATCGCATATTCTCGCCTATAACACTCTTTAACGAGAACCCAGAAGGGGAAGAAGTCTAATACGATCGTGAATACGGAGAAAATCTACTGACCTGGCCTGGCGAGAGTCCTCTTAATGAGCACACCGGCCGTGCACTTTGGCCGGCTAGGGACGTGGAAAGCTGTGCAACTGATGACCTTTAAAATGAGTTTCTTAGGCTCAATCGCAATTTCCGCTTCAATTGATCTTATAAGGAAAAACATAGAAAGAAGCTCTGTGCACCTATTGGTATTATGATTTAACGCAAAATCTAGGTCTTATCCAGTAAGAGGGGATGTGCTGTTTTATAATATAAAGTAACCCATGTCTTGCGGGAAGAGAAGCTTCAGACTTGGGTGGTAGAAACAATAGCTTATGGTAGTGGACTATAGTTATAGTTAATGCATTCCCCGGGCTTTCGTCTCGGCTCGCAAATTTGAAGTTTCTTTAAGCGGCAGAAACTGGCGCCCCGTCCCCTCTGGATGATACTTTGAAAACTTACCAATTAATATAGTTTCAGAGTTGAACAAAGCAAGACATTGAACTAAAAATCGACACCAACTCACCACCAGGATGCGTCCAATACTGAATGAACGACTTGAAACAGAGCTAATAAAAGAAGAAGACACCGCATGGCAGCGGTTTGTCTACTGGAGAATAGCGATGCGAAAGAGCTCGTGTCTGAAAGCAGCACTGGACTCTCATTGACAAGGTAGAAACTGCATAATTATTCCAGGCGAAGCATCCGAATTCAAGACAAGTGAAACGATTGGATGGAACCCTCATTAGTTACAACTAGTACCAAACCCATGATTGTTGAAGTTCTGGCACGTGTACCTCTTTCACTGCCTAACTTTTCCATTGTTAAGCATGAGTTTTTCCGCCAAATTCGCCCATCACTGATGAAACATTTGGTTAGGTAATTTAGCTTTCAGTGAACTACAGCGCTGTAGGCATTCGACGCGTGGAACACGAATACCAATGCCAATTGCAAAGTGCGCTGGGCCCACGCTACGACGTGCCGGTCGCAAAAAGGGCCAAACACTTACATCGCCACCCATGTGGGAGTGTACTCAGAGGATAACTGACATGAAAGCGCAATATTAGCGTCGTACCTTCTGCGACAAGAGCGCAGAAATGCCGTTATAAACCCTCCGAGTCAACTAATGTGACCCTCGTCCGCCCCTTTGTGGCCCAGCAGATATTCATTATTCCCTCGTCGCCAGAAAGGAACGCTAAAGACATGCTTAGCGTAAGATTACTCTCGCGGAGGGGAGGGGGCGGCAAAAGTCGTAGAGATCTTATCAACGACAAAAATTTTAGCAAAACTGCAACTCAATCTCGAGGAGTGGGAGTAACGAGATATTGAAATCCTTGATATGGGGTTTTTAGCGAGGCTATCTGAAAGATTTCCAATCTTGTACTGAATAAACATCCCTGTAATAGTTTGTTCAATTCTGTAACAAGTAAATAAATGAGTAACATAAATAAATAAATAAATATAATCCGTGTTAAGAAACACCGAAACTTTGCAGGCATCCGTTAGCAGGTTTACGGTCTGCTCATTTTAACCTTCGACTAGGCGAGCAGTAAATCCAATGAGATGGATAATTGCTTCGAGATTTGTCTGGGCAGATTACGGCCTTGGACCGATCATAGATGACTGCCTACAGGATACATACATATGTAAGTTTGCGGGCACTCTGTCATTCACGAAATTATGTATAAAAATGGCTGGCTTATCCTTGAAGCAGGGCGATTCCTTGTATTACCATTATGATTACTATTACATAGATAACACTTTGATCACTAAATAGTATGGCTTATCATTGACTTAATGTCACATCTCATTGCCTTGGTTTAGCTCCAACCCATCTATTGCTAGACTGCCACTGTTCAAAGAAAGCTATGTTTTTTTTGAGCACTATGCTTTCTGAAAATCAAACTAGTAGATTGGCGATAACTGAGGGAGGATCATGGCTATTTCAAATTACATCCCTGGCGAGATGCAAAGCCCATTGATCCAGAGAAAATTGCGCCTATGTTTTTGGATCACTGAAGTCAGGATCCCTTCACAGTATGATAAGCAGTGGCAAAACATGGATCTGAATAAAAACAATAGCTGAAAATTTTTCCATGACTTCCATTTCAAGTTGGGACAGCCTTCTGCACCTATCACGACACAGAGCCTTTTAAAACCGTAGCAGAATCCCCTTTTTGAGCAACGCGCTAAATCAGTGCTATCCAGTGACCCCACTTTACGTTTCGATGAAGATGGAGTTAGTACGGCTCTTCATTGTGGCTCTCCACCTGTCAATATTGTCAAAAATTTGTTTCACTTTTTCCAAGGACATCCCTTTTCGGTTGAATCTGTAAAACGATCATACTACTACTGTAGCCGTACAAAACTGAACCTCCATACTGATATGAACTTATTATCATTAGTCATCGGATGGTTCTGTTCTGTTGGTCTTCCCCCGGTCAATAACGGTGGTTTCCTAGTTCATGGTTCGGTGCGCTCCTTTGGCCGCGTTCATAGTTCGCGACTCCGGAGATTAGGATAGTACGCGACAATGAAAAACATATGTATTGACGGGGAGATTAGGATAGTAGTAGAGTAGGAGATTGCGCTGACAAGATTAGATACGTATCGATTGAAATCGCTGGAGAGTAGTAGATTGCGATATTACGATAGTAGGATAGTAGTAGAGTAGGAGATTGCGCTGACAAGATTAGATACGTATCGATTGAAATCGCTGGAGAGTAGTAGATTGCGATTACGATAGTAGGATAGTAGTAGAGTAGGAGATTAGGATAGTAGTAGATTAGGATAGTGCGCTGACAAGATTAGATATGTATTGATCTATTCGCTTGAAGTCGCCCAATCTACTACTCTCCAGCGATTTCAATCGATACGTATCCAATCTTGTCAGCGCAATCTCCTACTCTACTACTATCCTAATATCCTGTCGCCTACTATCCTAATCTCCCGAGTTTTGCCCGAACTGGGACGCAGCATTCAGGTGCTAGTGTACAATTGCATCACCCCCACCCCTTCCTCTAAACCTTTTTACAACCTATTCGTAGTAGCTCTGCTATCAAAGAGATAAAAGATCAAGGGTTTTACTCCAGGGAATCTCTAGTGTAAGCATACGAACTTCGATACAACGTTCAATGTCAGGCAACTAATTGATAAGGGCCGGTAGAATCCACGACATCTTCGACAATCGGGCCATTTTTCGAACGGTTTCAGTGGACCCACTGTGAAATTCCTCCTCCACCCTACACTCACCTCCCTGGGCCTATGTAAAAGTATCCGGCCCTTGACTCAGAATCGCTGCTTCGCGACAAGACTGGCTTACCTGGTTCTTGTCGAAAAGGCTTCCTCGGGTAAAGATGTTATCAAAACTTCAAATTTAGCATTATCGACACCCTTATCTTAGTCTTGTCGTTGAAGCTGCGGAGCAAAATAAAGTGCCTCCCCCCAACAATGTTCTAAGCTTGCGAAGATATTGGCGAGAACGAAATAGTAAAACTTGTTTACACAGTTCCAAAGGAATAGAAACCGCAAACAATTTTGCTGACATATTTTGTACTTAACATGAAACGCAAAAAAAAAAACGCAAAAAAAAAACTAGTCGTTCGAGAGCCCAATCGCCGAAATCTCCACAAGGCGTTCTGCTCTGCGCTTGATTCACATATTATGTGAATTAGAATTAGAGGGGGATTCTCTAACACAGATTTACTAAATGGTGAAGATTGGGCACTAACGCAATATACGGGGGCATTCTCGAGGATAAGTCTATTCGAAGGCAGGAACTCCAGGGGAAAATTAAAATTGCTCACGCACCCTGGACCCTCTCCTCTCCACCTGAGGCTTAGCTCCGATTCTAACAAAGAGGAGATGTTTTATGAGGCGCTAAATTCACTGTCACAACATTGCCCCCGTATCTTGCGATAGCTCCGGAAATGGTCACCGTCATACAGCATTTCATGAAGAATGAACTGGTTTCGATTCACATCATCGACAAAATAATACAGTAGTATTTCAATAATATAATAGTAGAATATTTTCGACAAATAATATAATAGTAATTGATCAAGTAAGAGATGAACCAGTAGATTCAGCTCTCGTCTGCCAATTTTTGAGATGCGCCATGCATTGCAATTCTTTGAGCTACTCGTAGTAGAGTGAGAATGCGACCTGGCCTGCACAATTGACCTCATCTTAGACCAGGCCAATGTCAATCAATATTATCAATCATCAATCAATATTATCAAGTCAATCAATAGTCAATATTTCTATCTCCCATAGAAGTGCGCTACCAAGGAGCGACCTCGGGGTGGAAAAGTCGGCCAGAAATTTCAAAATTAAGCTCGCCCAGGACGGTATGAGTGGTAATGGGCGTCACTTGAAATGTCACTTTCACATCCTTATTGACTGCCTTTGATAATATTCATAAATCGCTATGTAGTGTAAGTGTATGGGCTTATCACGTCAGTAATAAGTAGCACGTATCGCTGAGAATGTTTCGGGATCAATTTCGGGGAGAAATTCACCAGAAGAAAGCAAATCTTCCCGGGATCATTTCATATTCGAGGACGCCTCCGTGCCAGCTGACTGGGTTCACAACTGCCAGAATTGGGTTAGACCTTCGGAAACGTTGGTTTGCTACTTGGTTATCGGCTAAGCAATAAATTCTGTGGGCCGAATAGCCTTCAAATTCCACTGCAACTTCAAATGGAAGTGAACTGCGTGGCGTATCTCAAAAAGCTTTGTTAGTCAGAGAAAATAATAGATCATTATAGGGAATCACACAATAAACACAAATAAGAAGGCGAAAAATGAGAACGAATCAGAAGCAAGAAAATGTGAGAATGGAAGGAAAAGGCGGCTCTGTGTAAAAGGTGACTTTCATCTGGGGAAATAGTAGGATTCACATGGGTTAACGTCGAATGTAATTAGC